ATTGAAAGAGGACGCAGCTGAGAGGGCACTGCCAGTTCTCTGAATACTCACATCTCCTTGGCAATGAAGATAGAAAAAATCCCTATTCATTCACTGAGTATGAAGGTGCCTAGAAAACAGAAAGTCTTCTTAGAAAGGACAAAGAATTTTGATGGGACACAGCTTGTTTGGAAACCACATGGAAATTTGTGTTGATGGAGATCTAGCAGGGACTGGATCCTTTGCCATTCTGACACGAGGCAACACTGGAAGAGGGGGCTGTTATCCTTTGCCTCTGCTGCTTTCTCCTCCCCAGAGTACATATTTCCCCTGCTTCTGCTTATTTCCTTCTCAACAACTTTTCATGAGGATGGTAACAATAATGATATCACCAAACTGTCATTAATAACTTCTGCATGACAGATGCTGAAACTGACAATATGTATTATTTCTAAGCCCTCATAGAAAACTTTTAAGGTGATTATTATTAACTCCATTTTATATTTGAGGTAAGTGGGGCTTAGGTGTCACAGAGCTGTGGGGCAGAATGAAAAAACTGACATTGCTTTTGATCATCATAACTGGCTTGCTTTTCCTAAATATAAAAAAGCCAAAATGTCTGAATGAAAAAAAAAGACAAGGAAAACGACCATATAAATATCAGTACTTTAAGAAATCAAACTGCAGCCCCTTTAAGGACCCCAAGACTACAGTGTCAACCAATTAACAACTCAATGACTTAGAATTTGATGGGCATGTATTATATACTCTGCTGTGTGCTTGGTATCGTGAACAAGAGAGAAACAGACACTTGTTTAGCTTGAGGGGCCCTGAAAATGTAATTATTTGCTAATGGGAATACAGTCAAACTCAGAAAACAACCAATTCTGTGATTTTTTTTCTACGAAATGTAAATAGGAACATCCATCTCCAAGGTTCTCATAAAAAAAAGAAAAATATATACATACGTATGTTTGTTGACATCTTAAAGCATGCTTCAGTATGAGCACTTGGAGTTGGAAGATCATTCTATATTTATAAGGGCAGGCAATAATTCAAGCTCCCTGGCTTCCTCTGATCTTCAATGTCTTCCTCTGACTTACTGGGAGATGACATCTAGAGGCACAGGGGAAACGCTAGCTCTCATGTTTACCCTGCAAAAGGAGAAAACCCAAATGCTGTTTCCCACGAACATGAGTGTCACTGAAGGACACCTCAACCTCCGTGTAACGTGCATCTCAACCACCAGTCTGTGGAAACTAGGAGGCAGGAGCCATATCTATTTATCGCATCCCTGTATTCTCCAGATCCAGAATAGAGCCTGACACCTACAGAGGACTCAAATATATCTGTCAACTGAGTAAAAGAGGAAGTGAACACATGCATTCTGTTCAGACAGAAATATTCCTAGCAAGATGAAGCTGATAGACTATAGTCTGGCAATTCTGATATGTATATATTTGTTGGTTTAAATTGGTCTTGACCAGTTAAGTGGTAAAGTTTTTAAAAAACAAAACACAGCAAAAACCAAAGTTGTCCCCAGAATAATGGGTCAATAATGTTTCATAATCCAGGATTCCCCAACAATTTTAAAAACGTCTTTACCAGTCTTTCTTACATTTATATGTTTTAAAAACTATGCTAACTCTAAATTTAATTACATGGCATTATTTTGAAAAAATAATAGGCAAAAAACACCAACAGTGGTATAATTCACATAATTTAAGCAAAATACAGGCACTGACAGAAATTTAGAGAAAATTAGAAGGGGCCTCTCTAGAAATAAATGGAACAAATGTGGGTAAAAATTTAACCATAATTAATTGTAACCAAATAATTCATTATGAATTGACTCTGTGCTCATCTTTACCTGCTTTTCAACCTAATTCTCTAAAATACATTGAAACGAATTGAAATCGTATTGAACTTTTTTTTTTTTTTTGAGACAGAGTCTCAGTCTGTCACCCTGGTTGGAGTGCAATGGTTAAGATCTCAGCTCACTGCAACCTCTGCCGCCCGGGTTCAAGCGATTCTCCTGCCTCAGCCTCCCAAGTAGCTGGGATTACAGGCACCCGCCATCATGCCAGGCTAATTTTTGTATTTTTGTAGAGATGGGGTTTCACCATGTTGGCCAGGCTGGTCTTGAACTCCTGACCTCACGTGATTTGCCCACCTCACCCTCCCAAAGTGCTGGGATTACAGGCGTGAACCACCGCCCCCGGCCCCAAATCATTTTTTTCTAACAAATATTTTCATTATTTACATAACATAGAAACATCTGGAAAAGGAAAGACAACAGTGTTGTTTTTGTAAATGCATCCTGTAGACATACTAGTAAAATTTGATATTATTGGAAAAACCATCAACAACACTAGCTATATGAGAAATAAAACAACAAACTAAAATGTAATAATTAAACTTTTCTTAAAAGCCCTTTGGAAAACACTGTTAAAATTTCCCATGTTTGAAATTATACTTGCCTCTTAAAAAAAAAAAAAAAAAAAAAAAAGAACAATCACAAACTTCATCTCAGATGAAATGCATTTTGTCAAAACCTGAACTAATAATTATGGTGACATTTCAGCAGTGAAAGGGATTACCTCAAAAGGTCATGTCAACTCAATGCTGACTAATGACAACCACAACCAGCCTATTAATTAATGCTAGGGACACAATGGGGATTTTTGTTTTTACAATTAATATCACATATCTAGCAACCTAATAGACACTTCTCCAGAGAAATATAACCCTAATATTATGTTAGATTATTACGACCAGAAGGAACAAGCTATAAATCTACTTTAGGAAACAAAAATACATTTTATCTGATTCTGTTTTCCTAAGGAGAAGGGAGAATGACGGGAAGAATTGATTTCATCCAAGTATGTCCATGTTAAAAACATGGAAGGCAGCCACTACTGATGAGCATTAGGCAAACTGAATTGCTGTAAACTGTCTCCTCTTAGTTAACATTGTTACTGTTATTTTTCAGTCCATATGGAGAAGTGAACTTGAATTTTTTCTCTGTGGAAAGCGTGGATCACACTGCGAGCTCTGCACCTGCGATTCTTGCATCACCTGTGGATCTCAGGAGGTGCCTAAATCCTTCATAAGACTGTAAATTGCCTTATATTTTATAAGGAATCACAATTTTTGATTCTTTACAGTTCACCTATGAGCTTTAGGAGAAAAGGTATTTTCAGAATGAAGCATTCTTCCAAAGAGCTGCTTACCCAACATGAGGGAAGCCGGTTTGAGTGACGGTTGGTGCCTGTGCCACAGGGTGTTGAATATTTTTCATATTACCCTTAGTTTAAACAATTATCAAACATATGCATATATATTAGCTATTACATAGTAGGTACTTAATAATTTGTGGCCACTAATATTGTCCACTGGGAAACCATAAACCTGGATTCTGAAAAAAACAAAAGCCTTCTTAGATTGGTTTGTTGAAATGAGGATGGGGGTGTGGGAGGTATATGGACATGGCATTCTTAGAAGGGATCGTGGAGAATCAACGTTCAGCCTCTATTGAACACAGTAGCTCGTCTATTCCACATTTCCAATCTATCGCACAACATCCAATGCTGCCCGTGCTCAAACACATGGGCATGATGGCATTAGGCCTTACACTGAATAGTCTTGGGCATAAAATCAATGAACTAGTTTTAAAACATTGGTGAAGGTGAAGTTGGTTCTGCTGTTCAAAATAGGGATTTGATGAGAGCTTTTCAGAATTGAAACGATTTCCCTCAAAACCTAAATCAATATCTTTTTAACTCCCTGGCATCATCCACATTCCTTTAAAAATCAATTATCTTCTTAATTATAACAGTAGTGAAAAATTAAATTCTATTTTTCCCTTCCTTTGTTATTTAAATAATCTTAAAGCTAAGGTGAGTAGACAGATCACCATTGGACACCAAATGAAAAAGCACTGTCTGCATGGACTTGCTGAAATCTCCAGCAAATCTGGGAGCGGCCCTGGACACAGCACTCCCTGGTCTAAAGTCCCTGCAAGCAACGCCTCTAGGAGAGATTCAGTCCCACTTTAAGTAGTTCCATTACTATCTTGCACTATTATTTATTTTTCTACTTGATTAATAAACTGTTGATGTGACAGATGACCTACCATTTTCCCTGTAAAATGACTTAAGGCACCAACGACATGAAGTAAGCCTTATTTCTCTAGGTATCTAATCTAGGGAATGTTATTTTTGGTAATAGAGAAATTGGTTTTCCTATTTATACAGTCTATGAAGGCTGTAGTAAATGGTACCCTGATTGAAACTGTTGGAAGACATTTTTCTTCATTTCATAAATAAATGACTTTTCACTCACCATGGGTATTTTGTACTCTACACTTTCATGGGTATTACAATGTCCAATTCTACTTGGTACATATCAGAGCTCAGCCCAGTTTGCAATGTGGTGTTCTTTATGGCTGCATGGATTAGGGTAAGAGCAGGTTTCCAGGCAGACAAATGGATCTCCATCCCAGCACAGAAACACAACATCCTCAAGGTCCATATTATTATAAGAGTCATCAGCAGACTTAATTGTGAGCAAATGGTGAATCCTTATAGATTCATGGAGTTGTGATAGGGGATTTCAGCACCTCATTGGACCTTAACCAACCTACAAAATGAACATTGTAAGTAATCAATATGTACACACAATGAACAAAGTTATTATTCTGTTTGTCACATCCCTAATAAAGGTACGTCTCCAGCTGTCACAGATAGAACAATGCATTAACAGTTCTGATTACTTGCAAGTTCTACAACCCTTCTACTGTGCTAAACCTGTGGCTGTGCACAGTTTTCTTTAGATCATAAGATCAGTCATTAAAAAATGAAAGAGAACAGGAATGAAGGCTATTTGAACCTGGGAGCTACAACAGATATGGAGCATGTTTGGCCCAAGTGAGGCAAAGATGAGAGTGATGCATGGGGTCATGAGATGAGCATGGCTGTGGCAGCGAGGCAGATAGAGGGTGAGAGGGAGGTAGCACTCACCACTGCCTCCTCCACTGGCTCCTCAGCCCGAGTGTCCATTCCAAGGTCCAGCCCAACGGCAGGTGTGACAGCAGCCAGGGGCTCCTCTGCTTTTGGCTCTGTGGGTGGAGCCTGTTCAGATTCAGCCTTGGAGTGTTTGTTTTGAGGGTTAGAGGAAAAAGATTCAACAGGTAAATAGATAACATTACAGAATACTGGACAATTAAGATTTTCTTTGTCATCCCACAGGCAACTAGCTTCATGAAATCCGTGCTGGAGAAAAGCCCCCTGTTTGACATCATAGGCTTTTAGAGAACGGAAAAGACTAGAAATAAAATCTTATTAAACTTCTGCTTTACCATCATCAAGACTGTCATTTCCCTTGAAGTCAGGCAAGACTTACCAAGTTTTACCTACCCATTTTACTTACTTGCAACATTTTGAATACCTACTTACCTATGATAGCTATAAAAGGTTCTGCTATTTTCCAGAGAGAGAGAGAGAGAGAGAGAGAATTCTAGGAGGACCCACAATTATTTGCCAGTGGGAAGGAGTAAGGAAGAAATCGCAGGGCACACAGTTCCAGGGCCTTTCAGTTTTATGAATATGCATTGCACCAAAAAAATCAAAGAGTCATTCTAATAGTCAGACTAAAATGCATTCATTTGACTCAACAGGTCACCACGATGCTAGTGTTCCACTTCCAAGGCTGGGAGGAACAGAACCAGCTACCTGGCTATTCGCTACCACAATCATAGATACTTTACTGCCTTGTTGTAAATTCCTGTTCAGTTCCTTGTTCGCTTTCTCCCTCCGACAAAATCCTTAGTAATGCATTTACTTCATATAATAGTTGTTTAAAGAACCACAGGACAGTATTCTCCATGTGGTTCAATTACACCCGCTGAATTGTGTAGGCGGGGTGAGGTCTTTTTGTCCCAACACAACACATAAACATCATCCTGATTTCAATTACATATATGCTAAATCAGGCTTCTGGCATCTCTTAGATCAAGGCCTTTTTAGTTTTAAAATTAGCGATATCAACTAACAACAAGCCATTAAAAGCACCACAGCCAGTGCATGTCACTACAACTACTGAAAATATTCCTTCTTTTTCCATTCTTATTAATATAAATACACATATTTATCTAGCATGATTCTTTCACTAAATGGATGGCCATTAGAGGGCTCATAAGATCCTTTTCTATCATCACTTAAACTGTAAAAAAAAAGCTGAAAAGTGATTTCCCAGTGGAGTAAGAAGTCTCTAATTAATGCTGTGATTGGAGAAATCAGCAACTTCTATCCAACTCACCATAAGCAATCAAAACCCACCTCTATTTGTCCTGTACATTTATCTGAGTCAGTGCACATGGCAAGTTCCCCAGAGAAGTGATGGAAAAGTTATGCTGAGGTAATACAAAATGAATATGAATAGCCTAGTGTTGGACAAACACACAAACTATTTGTCTTATGTCTCCCACCAAATCATTCCATTTTTATGCATGCCAGGATCACACGACCATTCTTTTCAAAGGGCATAATAAATTCAAAGGACTGGTAGACAGGTGTATAGACATTTGATTTTTTATGGGCTTTTTTAAGCTTTAAGAGGTGGCCTGACATAATTTTTAGGAAAGAATGAGATAAAATTCACACGAATATGCTCTCAGGAGTCCTTTATGGAAAAATACTTCACTTTTATTGTTCGAAAAGAATTATCTTCATAATGGAACAAGTTTTCATAACAGCAAACAGATACTGTAAGCGCTCAGGGAATGATCTTACCATTTAGGAAGTCAAGGTGATTTGCTATGACAGCCTGGTATCAAATGACCTTCACAATGAAGGATAAAAGGGCAATTTGAGAAAACACCAAGAAATCCACAAGTAGATGCTGTTCACTGCAAGCTGAGTCTATGCTACGGAAGAAGTTAGATTGAAGCCAGATGAGAAGCCAAGAGATGTTTTAAAACATGAGTCAAAGAAATATATCATCATATATTTTACAAAATGCAAAGATATCTCAAAATGCAAAAAATATTTGCATCAGAGTCTAGGTTTCTTAGAAGTCTCAAGAAATTCTGACATTTTTTATAAGGCAAGAATAAATAGCTAGGGTGATTCTATACATGAGTCTAATTGCATTTGCTTGTTGAAATTTGACAGTGTGACTGTGGTCTAGTATCAGGAGAACATAGGATTGCTTATGTCCCCACAAGTCACAAGATGTTTCACATACGACAATAACACATGAAATTTCACAGTAAGGCATTACAACTTAACCTAAATTCCAGGAGGATAGTATAACTCACTAAATGATGAGTAACAATGAAGCCTGGTTGTATATAAAATCAGCTACCTAAATTTAGAAATAGAAGCCACCTTTCTTTTCCAAGATAATGCAAAATTATAAGTGTTTTGTCAAGAAAGAGGGAAAAACTAAGATAAAATGTGAGCAACCTCTTGTGGAGAGATTCAATATAGTCCTGTGGGAATTGTGCCCTACCTTCACCATTTTTTTCTATAAGATGTCTCCCTCGAGAGACATTGCAAATAGGCTGATCCCCTGCCACACCTATTTTGGAGTGCTGAGAATGATTTCCTATTGTTTGTTTCAGTAGCAGTCATTACACATTCAGAGAAGAGGTGCATCCTTTACAGATATTGGTGGCAGTAGATACCACAATGGTTGAACTCTGAGGACCATAAACGAATTCTTCCTTTAGAATAAAATAAGGAGTATAGCCTTGCAGCACCTTTTCTGGTATCCTTTGTGATAAGATGAAAGGCGGGTCAACACAGAGGAAAAGGAGATGGGTTGGGAGAGCAGGGGCAGAAGTCTAGTCACATCCAATGTGGCCTTGTATCCAGTTTCTCCAATCCTGAGAGAGCTAATTTAGTGAGAACTGCAGAGGGCTTTAGAGGCAGCTCTGAGCTCTGAGCAAGAGTTGCTGATTCAAAAGGGTTTAAACCTGTACTCAAAAGATGTCCTGTGGGGCTGTATGATGCAGACTGGAAGATGTACAGCTGATTATCAACTTCATCTCCTACTTCGCTCAGAATAGTCAATGAGCCAAACACTGGGAAGTTTTCTTGCTCCTGGGAAGATCGTGTACAATCAGGACTCACTGGGAGACATCGGTTCACTGTGATTTCCTAGATCAGAGGGCAGGGCCAATGTTAGCAGCATTTGCAATGCTGAACATGACAAAGCTAAGTTCCCCATGGAAAGAAGGGGCAAGATGTCTGCTTCAGAGAATACATACAAAGAGAAGAGAAAGACAAGCATGGAAGCTCCTAGGACCAGCCAGGGATGATATGGAAAGGCTCACCAAAACTTAAAAACCACTGAATTCTAGACCTGAATGTTTTGCATCAGTGTAGTAGGTGTGAGTTTAATTATAACCAATTGCCTTTCCTTTTATACTGGTATTTCTCCATTTCTCATAAACCATTCACGGTTGATAATTAAAAATTCCATTCTCCATCTCCATCACCCAGCTGGAGAATCACCAATGAACATGAAGAATGAGTTTCACTGGCTCCATGACTAACACAAGTATAATTTGTATTTGAAACATTTAAATATTTATTTGCAGGCCAGAGAGACTCTGTCTTTCAGCTGGTTGTCCAAAAGGCAAAAGCGTGACAATCTATTGACAAGGTATGAGAGACACACCTGCCTTTGAAAATATATCAAACCAGTCTTGAAGACAAACCCTCCAGAACAGAATTCCTTACTTACAAATAAAATAGTTTTAAAAAATTCATTGTATTTAATCTTAATTCCAAGTATCCAATATGAAAGGCAGAAGCTGGGATAAGTATGCACTACTCCCATGAGAAAACCACAGTGCTACAAATAACCCTCATGACCTAGTCCTCAAAGATCCCAAATCCTCTGAAGTGTAGCAATGACATGCTCAAAAGCGACATCTCTTAAGGTCTCTTCATTCATCTTTACTAGTAAGCTTTAAGCTGTTGCTAAAAACGTTTTCCATCGTAACTGCAACACTGATCTTTTAAGAATCTCCTCTAACACCAGGAGTAACTATTTCTATTTCTTACTCATCCCCTAACTAAGCTTTTGTCTCTCCTCTCATTTGGTATCAAATTAGAAATCACAACTCTACTATGCATTACTGCTTTCTACCTCTCACAGAGTGGAGGGATGAGATGAGAAATGGGGTAGTTTCAGGTTCAAGAAACAAACAAGGATTTCTTTTGAAACATGGATTCTTGAGGCAATTTCACTTTAAATACTGGAGCTTAAGTTATATTCATATGGAAACATACATATCCTTAATGGATTCACTGTGTTCTGCTGCGGTTCATAATTAGGAGACTGGTTTTTGCTGGAATGACTGTGCCTGTGTGAATAGAAATAACTAAATGCAAAGTCACACTGAGGTTTTACAGACACGTTCTCTCCTGTCTTCTAGAAAAGCACAGGATCCAGAAACCACATTCTGGATATTAAAACTCTAGATGCAGGGATAACTAACAACCTCCCGAGAGCACAAACCCAAATCAACTTACCAAGTTGCAGATCATACTCTGGTCTGTCTGCATTGCGAATAATGAAGTATCCTGGGGCTGACAATCAAGGATAAAAATAGAAGATGTTTTGAAAAGATATTTAAATTAGCTACCATCAATTCTCTCTCTCTCTCTCTCTCTCTCTATATATATATATACACACACACACACACACACACACACACACACATATATATAGACTCTAATTTTTTTTTTCTTTTTTTTTTCTTTTTTTTTTGGAGAAAGGGTCTCCTCTGTCCTCCAGGCTGGAGTATAGTGGTATGATCATGCTCACTGCATTTTCCACCTCCCTGGGCTCAGGTGATCCACCTCAACCTCCTGAGTAGCTAGAAGTACAGGTGCACATCACCACGCCTGGCTAATTTTTGTATATATATATATATTTTTTTTGTATAGACAGGGTTTCATCATGTTGCCCAAGCTGGTCTTGAATTTCTCAGCTCAAGCAATCTGCCAGCTTGGCCTCCCAGAGTACTAGGATTAGAGATGGCAGCCACCATGCCTGGCCTCAATAAATATAATTTTAAACATGTTAAAGTCCCCTTTTATTTTAAATCATTAAGTCAAAACATGCAAAAGTAAGTTTTAATATAAGTCTCTGCTAGCAGAATACTACGAGAGTCATTAAACAGAGGCCACTGGCTTCAGGGGCATCTTTAGTCCACAGCTTCTCTTCTGGCTGTTGATACCAAATCAGAAGTTAGTGGTTGAAGTTCCAAAATTCAAACTTTTTAAATGTTGTGAATTCAATCTCACTATATTACTTAAGTGTTCTTTCTAATGGGTTATGTATGAGCCACATGTTAAAATTTCATAAAATATGTTCATTGACCTAAACAAATCAAGCTGGAGGAAATCTAAAGGAAAATTAACCTCTAAAGGAACCTTCATCTCTCATTACATTGGTAGCCAGGCTTGCACCCTCCAAACAGGAGACCCAATTGCCTTTCCTGGGAAATCTGCTAGCTCAAGGGAAAAAACAAAATGCCTGAAGAAATCACATCCAGGGGACGCCTAACAGAAAAGATGAGTCAGTGACTTTTGGATGAAGATGGTGTTTTGAACACATGCAGTTACCTCTGTTACCTCCTGAATCCAAACTAAACAACAATAAAGGGATTTTTTAAAAGGCATAAACCTGTAAGAACGAAAAGAATGAGAAGAAAGACAGAAACAACAAAATGTTGCAATTGGAAAGCAGATGAAAGAGTAGTAACTTGGTGGATCAGAGAAATCTGGATCCTAAGGTGATGTTAGAAATGCTGAAAATCAGTCTGATTTGTTCCTTAGAACTCCCAGTGATGAAGAATTAGAAGCATAAAGAGCCACAGGAAACAGGAGTGAGGGCGGTGGTAACAACAGAAAAATATAATAGACTTTGTAAATGTAATAGACTTTGTAAAAGTCTATTACAAAGTTGTCAGACCTCAAGATATTCTTACCTACTAAGAACACCAAGCAACATCCTTGCCTACCCTAGCAGAAGACTTGAGATTAATTATACAGAGGCTGAAACAGGGTCCCTGGACTGGGGAACACACAGGCACATCAGGAAGGTAGAAGCACTGAGTATTTACATAATAAATACTGAGACCATGCACCCCTCTCTCACTACTCTGCTCCCATTTTTTCCCCAATCACCTCCATTACACTAGTAGTCAGACCTGAACTTTGCAGACAGGAGACAAAATAAATCTTCCTTGGGAAATCTGGCCAGCCCAAACGAAAAAAAAAAAAAATGCCTAAAGAATCTGACCTCAGTGGCTCGCCAACAGAAAAGATGAGCCAGAAAGTCCTGCAACAATGCCCACAGTCAATGAACTCTATCTACCTGTACAACTTTCCAGTCAGCTTTTCAGATTCCCACTTTTAAATATGAGTATTCAGTCAAGATCACCAAACATTTGATAAGTCTCAAATACAAAAGAGAGAAATGGAATAGAAAGCAAGTGGAAGAAACAAAGACTTTGCAAAAAAAAAATCAAAACTGATTATTAATATTTTAGAGATATAAAGGAAGAGAATCATTCATGACACAAGAAGAAGATGCTGTTGGAAAATAAATATGCAGTAAATAAAAAGAGTTATTGGAAATTGAAAAAATTATAGGGGTGAAAAACCTGTTAGAATAATTGGCAAACAGAGAAAGTAGAGAAAGACAACAGAGAAAAGGAAACAGCAAAGAAAAAATAATAGAATACTAGTCAGGAAGTTAACATATGAAAAAGAGAAGTGTTATGGAATGAGAGAACAAAGGAAAAAAAAGATAAAGCCATGATTTTTTTTTACAATTCTCCCAAATCAAAACCCATAAATTTTGAGATTAAAAAGGCTTATACAGTGGATGAAAAGAGACTCAGACCATAGCCCATCATTGAAACATTTCAGAAACACTGAAGTAAAAAGAAGATGCTACAAAGTTCCACAGAGAAAGAGAGAAAAGGAAGATGAAAGAGGTAGGAGGAGGGAGAGAGAGAGAAAGAATGAGGAGTGGGAAGAAGGTTTCTTACAAAATATCAAGACTCAAAATTACAATTTCTTGAAGGCAACACTAGGTGGTAGGATTGAGTGGAGTGGTGGCTTTAAAATTCTAAGGGAAAATGATTTACAGCTTCAAATATAATACCCAAACTAGCAGTCCATTATATTAATATATACGTAGGACATGTTCAGATGGGTAAGGTCACAAATATTCACCTTCCGTGTACACTTTTTTCAGAAAGCTACTGGAGGTTGTGCTCCACCCAAGTGAATGATTAAACCACAAATGAGGAAACTTGCATCAGAAAACAGTGGAAGGACAGGAGAGAGAGGTGAAGGTAGCTCCCATGATCAACAGGATGGAAGAGCCAGAGAACAGCTCTGCAGCAAGTCACAGGCATAGGGTACCAGGTTCAGACCAGAGCAGCCCAGGAGGACAGATAGGCAATTTCTTCAAGAAGATGAAACTGATCGAATGTCTAATGTTTTCAGCAGAATAGGAGATTTATATAACTACAGAGTATGGGGTTGAATATGCGATAAGTACCTAGAAAACTAAGTGGATCAACCAACAGGCAAATAAATAAGACCCACAATTATAACCACAAAGGAAAACAAAAAAATTGGCATGAAACAAAATGTGAACTTCATGACTTGGCTACTAATAGCATTTTCATCACTGTTCCATTACCACAGATTGCCTGGATGGCTCTGATGGAACTCTATCAGAGGAAGGGCAGGAAGCAGAAGAGGGGGCGAATTGGGTGGGTAGGAGGTGGAAAATACTTTAAGTCTTCGCCTTCCAGAGGGATGAGTCAATAGATAATACTTTAGAAATCAAAAAGCAGCATAATAAGAAACCCATGCACACATATAGGGCGGAAACAGAATTTGTTGAAGGAAGTGAAACTATTCACCTCTAAGAAAAGGAAATGAAGGGAGTGTATGATGGTCTGAAGTTTTAAAATAAAAGCCCTTATAAAAGTTGTTACTTTTAAAATTATGTGCATTCATAACTCTGATAGAAATACAAACCTGAAAAGAATGAGAAATTTATGACAATGCCTATGATAACCTTTCAAAAGAATTATCTGAAGATGGAAGAGATGCATTAACATCTCTCTTTGTGTTTGTGTGTATCTGTATTTGGATGTAGGAATATCAGTGAGTTTTTATCTTTTTATAGGTAACATGGAAAAATAATGAAACCTTTAAATAGCGAATTCTATTTATGAATATATTGTGAATATGTATTTAGAGAATTCTAAGTGCTAAATTATTAGAAACTGTTCACGTCTGACATTCTGAGACAAAGCAGGCATCACAGACGAGCCTGTTTGAGGTCTCCGTTGAAGAGGTTGTCCGAACTGATCCAGGAGCCTGAGAGCCATGTGGCCAGCCTTTTACATATGTTACACCTGCCTACCTGTTGGGACATACACATACACTGTCCTAATGGGACAATTCATCTTGTGGTTTCTCTTTCACAGACTCCCAAGGAAAATACTGCCTTATTGGACACAACCAGCATATGGTTTCTGAGCTTCCAACAGATCTTTCCTGGAGAACTGCTGAAGAGGCAAGGCTCTGTGCAGTGGGGTTCCTATAGGAATCTCTAGAAGGAAGCTCCTAAAACCCTCTCACATTTTCTAAAGATCCATCTCATTAGTTCAAAACAATCCTAGCTCTTCTTTAGAACAGCTGAATCCAGTGGATCTCTCAGATCAGAACAACTTCTCATTTCTAGTAGAGGAATCGGTAGAAGGTAGAAGCCCATGGTATAGCTAATCATATTAATAAAAGCTAACCTAAAGTCAGGGAGAACTTAGTGTGTGCTAGCCTGCTGGGCTAAACACTCTGTTGCATATCTCATTTAATCTTCACAATAATCATACATTGTTGCTACTATTCTGTTTCCATTACTCAGTTTGTAAGTAGTGGGGTCCAATTTTGTGCTGACATTCTTAATCATTATGCTGTATTAGTGGCACAGAGAACCAAACCACATTGAAAAAAATGTGCATCATGCTCAGCAGATGGATCTTGTAACAAAATAGATTCCATACCTGTGTGAATCCATTAAAGGAACCACCAGAAGCCTAAACAGAAACGAAAATCAGATTGTGTTATTTTTTTCATTATCATTTTTGTAGGACCAGTAAATATCCATTAGACAAGTTGGAAAGTAAAGACTATCACAAGTTTTAAAATCATACAAAAGGTTGCTCTGCATGAAATAACTTAGGAAATGCAAAAGGCCACACTGCATGATTTTAAATAGGCTGACAAAAAAAGAAAGGTTAATTTTACAATGATTGCTGCTGCATTACTGCTTGGTGCCGACCCAAACCCACTTTCTCTATGAGAAGATGATTCCGGAAAAAGGCCATTAGGAGTTAAGTTGCTTGTTTTCAGGCCATTGATAGAATCTGGAAGAAGCTTTTCCAGTGTTTCTACAATGCATCATTTTGATGAACAGCAATTATGATATTTTACAGTTTCAGTGGGCCTGGGTTGAAACATTTCATGTGTTCTTATTGGAGCAGAACCATTTTAGGAACAGTAAATTAGTCTGTGCTGCTCTTGGTTTAGCACATTTTTAGTTCTTGAATAGTAAAAGTGAAAGTAGAGAGAATCAACTCAGAAAATGAAATGGTAACATAGATTCTCATTAATTCCCAACACAATCATTCTGCTTTGTGTGTGTATGTGCCTATGTTGTTGGGTTTTTTGTTGTTGTTGATGCTGCTGCCTTTTTTTTTTTTTTTTTGGTCAACCTATTTGTGTTCGGTTTGCACAGATTTCAAGAAGTACATGACAATCTGTTAGAGAGATTAGGCCTCCTAGAAGATAGTGATGGATAATGAAGTAGGTGAGAGACATGAGGAAAAACAGAACCTACAGAAGTTTTTGGCTAGTCTATGCTACAGACCAGGGTAAGTACCTCGTCTTTGTCAGCCTCTATTTCTTGGTACAACAATCCATATCTCTGGTTAGCAATTTCATCTTCAGATAAATCTGAGTTGTTGATGTCCTGGTCTCGGGAACTAGCAGAACTCTCAGTGCTAGCATTCCGGGAGGTCCCCAAAATCAATGGTCTTGCTATCTCCTGGCTTTGTTCCCAGCAGCTAGCAATGGCTTGTTTCCTACATACACCTGCTAGTAAGTCCACCTCCAGTTCTTCCTTGTGCTCAACTACATCTAAATGTGTCCAGCTATTATCTAAGCCTTCTGTATCTCTGATAGGCCCATGGTTAATAGAATCCAGACAATTGGCAAATCCACTTGCTTGGCCATCTGGTATACCAGAGAATCCTGTTATATCCAAATTATTCAATGCTGAATCCAAGCTCGGCTGCCAGATTTGACCTGGATCTGTTCCCCAAGAGTCTATCTCTGCAATTCTTGGCAAGTTAACAGTATGACTACAGTTCTCAGTTACTGTTCTTTCAGACCCTTCTATTAGTGAACTTTCTGCCTTACATGAACATAAATCTCTTCTGTTTGCATCACTTCCCAGAGAATAATTAAGGTCAGTCCTAGACTGAGCTTCTACTTCAAGTTTTATTGATAAAACAGCCTGATTTTTATCACTGTCACCTACAAGAGCATTTAACACAGTCTCACACTGAGTTTCTTCAGCATCTGTACTGTCTTGTGCTGGGTAATATATCATATCATGGTTGGGAGTGTCTATTGCATTTTTCTTTATGTCTTCTCTAGTGAAATCCCATCCCTCAGGGCTGCCATCTTTAATCTTAGATACAGAGTAGGTCTGGAGAGATGGATTCAAGATATCTGGGTGATTGGCAGGTTTGGCTCCAAAGCCGCCTATCATCTCACAATTTTTGATTACCTTTTGAATTCCATCATGTAGACCTTGGTCTCTGTCACTAAGTTCTTTTGCCATATCTCCTCTTTCCATGTCCTTTTCTAATAGGTCAGTTTTCTCAAAATAATTTTCATTGGTGTTTATACTTTCCTTATACCCTGCTCTTACATCTTTTCTAGTTTCCACTTCATTAATTTTTAAGGTCTTATGTGCTTCCTTTCCTATGGTATTAAGATCTACCACTCTGTTTCCTGTCCTTTCACATGCTTTCTCTTCAAATTCCTCTGTACCTTCTAGTGTCTTGATATCAATAGCTCCAGTGTCTACCTTTTGACATGTCTCCACACCTGCCCACAGAGAATCTTCTATCTTCTGTTTCTCTTCCTCTTCATCTGACTTCTTCACATCTTCATGACTTTCTTTGAACAGACCAGCTGTGTCCACGGCTGGCATGTCTGAGTCAAGTGGGTCATACGGCTGCTCCATCTCCACACAAGGAGCAAAGGTAACTCCAGCCTCAGGCGCAGGCTTTGGGGGCAGTTGTTCATTTCCACCTGGAAGGGCTGGCCCCGGGGCATGCTCACCCTGTTCAGCTACAGTGGGCCAGTCAGCAGACGAAAGCAGCCTGGTGGATAATCTTATGTCTTGCTCTGCTTCGGAGAGACATGCAGAGTCTTCTCCAAACCCGCCTGAGGTAATTTCCTGGCTGACCCTGTCTGTACTAGCGTCAGGGCCCCAAGTAAATGCACCTATATCATTTTGAGATCTTTGAATTTCTTCGGCCAACCCACTGTCTGGAGTTTCCTCCATGATCAGGTTATACAAGGAAAAACTTTCTGAAGAGTCAGTCTTTAAAGTATGCAGAAGAGCAAAGGAAAAAACAAAAACAAAAACAAAAACAAAAGATGAAACAGATCATGGCAAGATTTGATGAGAAACACAAAGCTCTTCAGGCAGGTAGCACCAGTAAAACCAAATTGGAAAGTGATTACATTCATTGGCTTAAGGTTTAAATCTATGACTAGCAATGACATGGGGAAACAGTTCACTCTAGAAAATACGCTATGTATGTAATGCATATCAAATACCAAAAAAATCCAGAATGTTCTGGATATTTACCTACCGGCTGTACCAAATCAGCGCTTGTCTGTATAGGTAAAGAAAATAGTAACAATAAGGCAAGAGAAGAAAATTCACTAACACACTAACACTAATCCTATGGTGTCTAGAGTCAACATTCTGCTGAAGGCTATAGCTTTTACTGGCTTAGGAACAAACTTTACAACTTGTTTTGTGATGGGAATGATTTTTGTTCCAAAATTGTTTAAGACCACTGTAGAAAAGGTACAACTAAAACCCAAAGAAAGCCTCTGTCATTTTGTAGCATCAACAAGGATGTTTTATGGCCAGTACATGACTTCTGCTTTAGCAGACTCTGAAATGTAAAGTTTCAAACACATAAGCAAGTTTGAGAACATCGGAATAAGATCAAGCACTCGAGGTCAAGAAATTACACAGTAGCACACACTCTGACACAGTATCAGAAGAAAATATTCCCCAAACTCATCCTATACTTGGCTCTGTCTTTGAGGTGGATGTTTAGATGGAGAATGGTCTGATATTAACCAGTCTGACTGCCTGGAGAGTTCTCTTGATGTCATTCCTCCAAATTAGCAGCCATTTTCTCCACATAACAAAAAAATCTTGCAAAGTTGAGACGATTAATAGCTGTGAGCAATTATGTTCAGAAAGCTGTTGTTTTGCATTCTTGTTATTGGTACCATTCCTAGCAAGTTTGTCCTCTGAAATGTTCAATAGCTGTTTCTAGATGATACCTTCACCCTCTCCATACCCTCCCAGCTAGGGAAGGAAAATGTGTTACAGTTCCACTAAAGATATAAATATTGGAATAACAAAAAAAAAAGCATTGTCTTTTTAATCTCCAAGAAAATTAACACAGAGTTGAAGTTAGAATTCAAATGACTTGAGCATCAATCCATGCATGCCTTTTTGTGAATATATGAGTAAAACTTTTCACTAGAAAAGATATAACTTAGTCATTGGTGGTTTCAATCGACATTTTTAATCTCTCTTCTTGAGCACCTTCCTTGGTGATCCAAGGATCTTAAAGACTGCAGTATAAGCCCTGCAACTGCAGAAAGAAGGGACAGACATCTTTTTGTTTTGAAGGGAGAAAGAAAGTGGCAAAGTCAATCCAGAAGTGGCATTGCCCAGGAATAGCTAGATCTATTAAACTTTCCTTTTTTTGCCTCACTATAAAAGAAGAAAACATACAACTTAAGTTGGGTTCTTAAGACCACATCACCAGGGCTTTTCTAAAACAAAGACTCTGCTGCAAGGGATATGAGGCTGTAGAGGTGTGTGACCAGTCACCTAATTTCACAGCACCAATGAGACCACCACAAAGCTCTGTTTGTGACACTTTCCCAAGTCTAAATTATGGAGTAGTTATCCTTACACGTCAGATTAGCTGAATAAACATCAATAATAATATCTACCTTTTATTGACACATACCAGACACCAGGCTACATACTCTACAATTATCTTATTTAAACCTCACACAACCTTCTGAGGTAGGCATTGTTACCCTTATTTTACAAATGAGAAAAAATGATGCTTAGAGAGTTTTAGAAATTGCCCAAAGTCTCAAGGTTTTAAGTAGAAGAGTTTGGACTAAAATCCAGGGCCATCTGGCTGTAAAGCTCAAGTTCTTATTAACTCAAGCTTCATTAAATATAATAATTTTTAAAAAATGATTCCATGTGCCAAGTAGCCCATCTCTTCCATTTTCTCATTCACACTTTCCTTGTCTTCTATTTAAGTGTGTGTGTCCTTCACTACAATAGCTCCTTTTGCCATCAACCACCACAGAAAGAAACAAAGGGCCAATTTATTGACCATTATTCAAATTATTGACCATTATTCATCCAGGAATCTGGTCCACTGTACTCTTCCTTCACCATCATCTTCAGGTTCTCATAATGCTCAAGACTTTCAGTGGCCTAATGACCACCCTAGGGGTCTACATCATCATTAAATTGTATGAGTCTTCTTTCTGTTGCAAATGAAATAAAATATAACAAGGTTTCCAAATTTCTGGGGATCAAGATACATGAAAACAGAGTTATTAGTGGCTTACCGTCCATAGGTCCCAGGGCAATGTCTGAAAGCAAATAAACAAAAATATTGTTAGTTATACAAATCTAAAATGTAAAAAAAAGCTGACGTGACAAAAGTTCTTGAAATTATAAGCATTTTTTAAGCAAGCATTTCGTACGGCACTGTTCAATAGAACTTTTTTTGGTGATGGAAATGATCCATATCTGTACTTATCCAGTACGGTAGCCCTGGTCACATGTGGCTATTGAGCACTTGAAATGTGCTAGGGTAACAAAAGCACATTTTAAATTTTACATAATTTTATTATACTTAATATAAGCTTAAATGGCATTTAGCTTTGGATAGCACAGGTCTAATCAATCTCACCTTTCACTATGTGAGTAGAAAACTATATTTGAAACATGAATGAGGTTACTTTAACACACACACATACACACACATACCTCATTAAAATGAAGTAAACGAGGTGTCCAAATTTTAGAGCTTATCACATCTTTGAGGAAATGCAGGCGCTAATCACTGCTAATGCTATTTCCTTCTCATCTCATTTGAGAGGATATAGGATGACCAGTTTGATGGTAAATGAGCCCCAGAAAAATAGTTCTTCAATATGTTAAATTAGATGATAACACACTGCTCAATGAATTGGTAATCATACAAATTGGCAGAGCACCCCCTAAGACATGAATGAATTACACTTACTACTGCTATTTTATTTATAAAGCTTATGAATCCTAGGGAGTGAGGCCAGATGGTTCAAATGACTTCCACTATGGTTGAGGGGAGTAGGGGAGACTTCTCTTTATTTCCTTTATGATTGAGAATTGCTGCTAAAGCCACATCGCGTTATGCCCATGTCTTTGTCATTAGAATGGATCCATGTTTGTGTACTTATTTTGAATCACTAAATGTGAACAGCAAACTAGAGAGCCTGGCATTCCCACCTTAAAAATACGATGGTTTCCAGTAGAGATTGCAGAGGCCTCATTTGGGTTCTGTATTATAGAAAGCGGGCCCTGAGTTCTAACTGACACCCACCCACCTGGTTCGGACCCATTCTAACCGCTCTGCACTGCCCGCCTTGCATCTATCTCCATGCAGCCTGCCTGGTCTCTTGCTTAGCATCTTCTTGTAGGACGACTAAGACAGGAGAGAACAACTCCATGGAAAGCTACAATTTTCTGTACATGGATCTAATATATGTTTTCTGATTATCTAGATGATTTGCATTTCATTGCTTCACAGCCCCTTAAGAATCAAAGATCATAAAAGCTAGTACATGTCTCTGCATCATGCACACATCACCAGTATTTTCTTTAAAAGGAAGGCAGGAAATGTGAAATGTCATGTTTATCAATCCTCAGGATCATGAAAGGATGCGTTAGTGTGCACAGATACTGCAGAGATCACAAGATGAGGTGTTCTGCTAGCAGCAAGAACATCACTTGAAAACATGGGGTCAGGTGATGAGTAAAGGAGGTCATTTTGAGTGAAGAGGAAAGAAACCAGGCAGACCTAACAGTGCTGTGCTTTTTTTGTCATTCAGTCAAGACTTTTGTTCTTAGCAAGAGAGGAGAGGTATGATCAAAGCTGAATTGTAGGACAACTATAGTGTAGTGACTCAGTTATGGCCACCAGGAGGCTAGAGGGTTTTATTACCTGGCCATGACGAAGAGCACAGGGACACACACAGCTTGCCCTCACTGCGGTGATATATGTCCTTCAGAACTAAGATTTTGAAGATTAAACCAGGTCATTTTTGTTTAATTTTGAAGAATCTCTTAGTCATGAGGCCACACACAGTTTCATGATTTATGGATTAATGTAACCATGAATTAACATGAAAGAGGTTTCTCTCCTGATTCAAACTTGTAGACAGAAATGCTACGAAATCTTACCCACTAATCATTCTAGCATCCACTGCAGAAACTTTGCTTCTGCCACAAAAGAAGTGAAGCATGGGCCAGGCATGGTGACTCACGCCTGTAATCCCAGCACTTTGGGAGGCCAAGGCAGGTGGACCACGAGCTCAGGAGATCGAGACCATCCTGGCAAACATGGTGAAACCCCATCTCTACTAAAAATACAAAAAATTAGCCAGGTGTGGCGGTGGACACCTGCAGTCCCAGCAACTCAGGAGGCTGAGGCAGGAGAATGACGTGAACCCAAGAGGCAAAGCTTCCAGTGAGCCAAGATCGCACCGCTGCACTCCAGCCTGGGTGACAGAGTAAGACTCTGCCTCAAAACAAAACAAAACAAAACAAAAAACATGGAGCGTAAGGCAGAGAAAATCCCGTGAATTCTGCAGGCTGTCTATACAATGAGAGAGCTCTGAGAAGGAAGTATATTCGATTATATGTATATTCACTTTGTACTTTTCTTGGTCACCAAGGTGGAATCCTCAAACTTGCTGACAATACTTCTCAAAATATTGTTTTAGAGAACATTCCAATGAATATTAAGACAAGTATGGTTAACATAAATTTCTGTGGTCAAACATATTTGGGAAACTCTAAGTTAAACAAACATAAACAGTTTTTTTAATTGCAGAACTTCTCAGTCTTTAGTATTCTCAGTCTTTAATATTCATAATGCACATCATGAATCTTCTAGAAGAGAGTTAATACAGGAGGCTTCCTGGAACATTCACCTAAGAGACCCATTTATTTTTTGCAAAGTATCTTTAAGGCTAGTGTCTAGACTATTAATTTCCTACTTTATTAACACCTTAGACATTTATTGTTCATATTTTACAACAGGAAGGCCTTTAGAAGTCCAATCACATTCTAGAATAAAGCATGGAATAGACATGATCCTTATTTATTGGGGTTCATATTGAGCTATTTATTCCCTAGTAGTTTACTGTGATATACCAAGAAGGCTTCAAGACCAGGGAATCAAGCTAGGTCTCAATTCCTAGGGTGAATGTTACAATACTCTTTCACTAATTCATTTGAAGCATACTCTAGCAACTTTGGTTTTGCCTAAATTCAAATGTGGGGCTCCAACCATATGCAAAGTACTCATATAAACAGTTTCGGTTTCGTCAAATTTTGAGTTAACTTCCTTCTATTAGCATAGAGAGCTGTAAACTAACTATATTTCAGAGGACCTACCCACAGGTCATTACGGCATCTACCACCAGTATCCTCTGACAGAAAATGTAACGACAGTAACTATCAGAAAGGAAGAAATGTGGAGAGGGAGGGAGTGGTGAGCAAAAAGGCTTGGGGAAGCAAGGCAACTCTCCATCAAACCATAATCATGATCACAGGAAGGGAGCTTCTTCAATGTGGAGGATGAACACAGCATCATCAAGTTCAGAACTATCAACACTGAAAACGGCTTCTGCTGGGCCATGCTCTCATGGTCATTGCAAACACACCTTAACTTGCAAAGTATGAGGAAGGGAAGTAGAGAAAACAGCAAGAAGAGTAAACCCAAAGCCAAAAGAAAGAGCTTCATCCAGGGAAGCCATAAAATGTATCCTGTAAACCTGAACAGTTCTGAGTGCAAAGTGGACACTGGTAACAATTACTCTGGGAGAGAAAACAGGAATGTATGGTTATGCCAGCTCTATGGGTAGAGAAAGCTGATGGCATGGGAGGCTTAGAATAACTAATATCGATAAGGTCCCCTTTCTACCCCTCTTTCCTATTAGGAAATATCTGTCAACCAAAATTAAAAATAGATAGTAGCCATGAAAGGTATAGGGATCATTGTTTACCACACTGAATTATTGAGGTTTACGAAATATCTCCAAATATCCAAAAAGCACCTGATACCTGAGACATGGGTGAGTGGGTCACTCCAGCAGAACCTGCAGGTGTCACCTCGGGCTTGAAAGGATCGAAGTCCAGATCCAGCAAAGTCTCCTCTTTCTTCACCTCAGGGACTTCGTTCTGTTAAAACAAACAACAAAACAAAACAAAACATGTATTAGCTTGAATCTGATAAGACCATGATATAGCCCATGTATACTCTCTCTAATATTATTATTGGGTATCCCCAAAACACACTTTTATAAGCATGGTGGCTCACCAATATGTGCCCAGTCACTCAGCTAAACACAATGAGAAGGAAATAACTACCTCTGGCCAAGTATAACCTAAGTTGCTCTGGAATGTGTTCCAGGCTCTAGCTCTTGTCCTTTGTCTAGTTCCAAGTCCAGTCAACAAAGACAATGTTCCAAAGATGCATCCTAATGTACTAAGATGCAAGGAGTCTCTTCTGTCAGCTCAGAGAACTCAGATCAAGAAATTACAGATGACCCAATCGATAAAATGGGTCAAGATCTGGACTTACTACAGCAATACTGCTGATGTTATTCTGGGAAGCTAAAATTTTAAAAGGAAGGTGCCATTGTGTACTGCTGACCACATCCCAACTGCCTCATTCCCTCATTGGCACCCTATCCCTTGATTTGGTTATCATTTGATCCAGTCTTCATCCATAGTATTGTTAGTTTCAGTTGTGTATGTGTATGAGTGAGGGTGAACGGGAGGGAGAGAGGAGACAGCCATGCCTCCCAACATTTGCTGCAAAATGAGCTCCCATTAATAATATTTTTGAATTAGAAAGAAGGTAAGCCAAATAAGACATAGGACAAAAGTCCTGCTCGGATAATAAAAAAAAAATCTGTAATACTAAACATTATCATTTGTTCATTTATTTCTGGTATCATAACACATGAAAACCATGTGGGCTTGAAATCGGCATAACCCAGGCTCAAGTTACACAGTAAAGGGCCAGACTAAGACAAAGTCCCATAAAGTATAACACAGAAAAGGGGGTTGGTGTCAGTTTTCATACAATTTAAATTATATGTGTTTAGCATTCAATATAAAATTCTTTAAAAAAAAAACTCTGTTGCCTAGAAATTGAAATGTCAAATCAATGGGTAAAGTATTACATAAAAACAGATTTTTGGAGACTGATTTTTGAAGAACAGGAGTTATTTTAATTAATATTCATCACAGACATTAAAAACTGAGAAATGTATGAAAAGTGAGGGCCAGACAAGTGGCTCACGCCTGTAATCCCAGCACTTTGGGAGGCCAAGGTGGGCAGATCAGGAGGTCAAGAGATTGAGACCATCCTGGCTAACATGGTGAAACCCTGTCTCTAGTAAAAATGCAAAAAAAGAAAAGAAAAGAAAAAAGAAAAATTAGTTGGGCATGGTGGTGCATGCCCATAGTCCCAGCTACTTGGGAGGCTAAGGCAGGAGAATAGCTTGAACCTGGGAGGCGAATGTCGCAGTGAGCTGAGATCGTGCCACTGCACTCTAGTATGGGTGACGGACCGAGGCTCCATTCCCTCCCAAAAATAAAAAATAAATAAAGAACAGCGAAGTGGTATAACCTAAATACTTTCCTTAGCATATCCGTACTTATTGCAGAAGAAAGCTGCTAATATATCATGCTATTAGCCTTGTGTTTTCTATTTTGCAGCATAGTAACTCCCCATATATACTTTTAAAAAAATTTCACAAGGATAATGCCCTTCTGAGAGCTACACTTTCTTCACTAATTACAATCACAAAACTATCAACCGATTTCCTATTCAAAATCTGCATAAGCTTTGTTTTTCCCCAACTTTTATGTTGGTACAAATTATATTTTTAAAATTTAGTAAATGTATTCTACTTGAAATATGATAGGCACTGTTTGAAGAACTTTACACATATGGACATTAGCTCAAGTTAACAACACACTTTGGTGCAGTCTAATGTTGACAACACTTTATTGCCTTTAAAGCATTTATCTTGCCATCTTCTCCAAACTGCATTGTACTTGCCTTTTCAAATATAATCCTTACAAAAAATTGAGGGAGATATGGCAGCAATTCCCCATTTGGGAGAATGAATAGAATTGGCTGAATGGTAATCTGTTGTCATGGCCCCCAGCTGCCATGCAGCAGAGGTAAGACTGCAGCTGGTGCCTCTGACTCCAAGGCCTGCCAGGCTGCCGCTGATGCCTCAGACCCAAGTTTCTCAATTAGGAACCTCAAGAATCCGCAGAGGAATTCTCAAAGTTCTGCAAGTTCTCCATAAAATTTTAGGTCATGTGAATATATTCATTATTTCCCTTTAAGCCGAATGAATCCCCTTAAGGAAGCTCAAATGGGAATTTAGAGATGAAGGATGAAATGAGGCATCAGACTATAATGGGCTATGCTCAGACTTTGATTGAGATCAATCTGTGTCTATACCCCAATATTACCACTTGCTAGCTGTCTCTCCCTGGCCAATTAATTGAGCTTCTTTGAGCCTTGGTTTCTTCGTGAATAAAATGGGATTAATAAGACCTAATAGGATTACCATGAGTAATAAAGATGATAAATGTATATGTACATAATAGATAGGAAATACTCAAAATGGAAATGGAAGCTAATGTTATTATCATTAGCAACAATGCATACATGTGATTATGGTTTGGCTCTGTGTCCCCACCCAAATATCATCTCAAATTGTAATCCCCTTGTGTGAAGGGAGGGACCTGGTGGGAGGTGACTGGATCATGGGGGTAGTTTTCCCGATGTTGTTCTCACAATAGTGAGTGAGTTCTTGTGAGAGTTGATGGTTTTAAAGTGTGGCACTTCCCCCCTTGCTGTCTCTCTCCTGCCACCATTTAAGATGTGCCTTGCTTCCCTTTCACCTTCTGCCATGATTGAAAGTTTCCGGATGCCTCCCCAGTCATGCGGAACTGTGAGTCAATTAAACCTTTTTTCTTTGTAAATGACCCAGTCTCAGGTGATTCTTTATAGCAGTGTGAAAATGGACTAATACAACATGTGAATACATAAAATTACTGTCATCAAATATCCATAATGCCAATTTGACTGCCTTCAAAATATGTAGCTGGTTTTTTCAGACTCAACTTCTACTTAGCTTTGCCCTCTTAATCTTGAGAATTATCCCTTAAAGTACTCATGTCAAAGAATATTCTGGTAAAGCTACAAAATAGAAATTTTTTTTTTTTTTTTTTTTTTTTTTTTTTTTTTTTTTTTTTTTTTTTTTTTTTGGTGTAAAGTCCTTACCAAAAATAGCAAAGGGATTTTGTATTTTACGTACGTTCTATTTATTCGGTTATTCTTTTTTAAAAGGGCAAGAATGTACTCACAACTCTGTCACTACATGTTGAAACACAGTAAAGTATAATTTTCCTTAACAAGACAAATGAATCCTGTACACCTTCATCACAATTAGAGTACATATGGTATGGTCTCAACATTCTTAGCTTTTTAGGAACTTGATCATAAGTACTGCTTTACCATCAGAAATCTACAAGGGGTGACTTGGAATGTGCTCCTAAGAAAGGAGACCAGCTGTGGAAACCACAGTAGTGAAAAATCTTCCAATAGGAAAATATTGCCAATTGTAATAATCTGTGCTATGTTTCATGAGGTGTCTTCTACTTGGGACATCTAAGTTTATTAGCAAGGTAGTGGACCTCTTCCAGCGAAGATGTGCAATTTGAGCATAATCTGTATGCCTAGCCTTGCCAAAGCTTCTTGATAGATGGATTTTACTTCCCCATCCCTTATGTGGGGTTGACCATATGTCATGCTTTAGCTAATGGATATTAGTTAATGTAATGCAAACCAAGGCTGGAAATATGCTTTCATAGTTGGTTGGTTGGTTTGCATTCCTGCCATTCACCATGAAAAGTACAGCCTTGTGTAGCTGCTAGTCCGAAAAGAATGAGACACATGCAGCACATGTGGGCCAATCATAATATAATTTTCTAATCAGTGTTGAAGACAAATTCATAAAAAGAACCAGAGAAAAGAAGACATTTCACTGACAGAGGAACAACATGAAGGTAGCAGTAGATTTCTCACCAGAAATAATGAAGCAAAAAGACAGTGAGGAAAGTACTAAGAAAAAGAAACTGTCAACTTAGAATTATATGCCTCTTGATAATACTTTTTAAAATAAAAATTCAATGAAGATTTTCAGACAAACAAAATCAGAAAGAATACATCACCATTATATATACACTACAACTAATGTGAAAGATATCTTTCAGGCAAGGGAAAACGATAACAGAAATATGCATCTACACAAAGGAAGAGAACCAGAAATACTAACTGCCTAGGTAACTATATATGAGTTTTTATTATTTAAATCTTTTAAAAAGATAATTGGCTGCTTATACAAAAATCATAACAAAGTAATGTGAAGTTTATAATGTAGATAAAATAAAATCCATGAAAAACAATTGCACAAAAACAGAAGTGGGGAAATGAGAGTATATTATTATTAGATTTTTATACTGTACCTTAAATGACTTTACATAATTGAAAGTTAGACTGTGATAAATTAAAATATATACTAAAACCCTAAAGTAACCACTAAAATGATAAAACAATGTATAGCTAATAAGCAAATAAAGAAAATTAAAGATAATAATAAAAATGTTCAATTAATACAAAAGAAAGCAGAAAAAGAAGGTTAAATGAGCAGGGAGAAAATGGAAAACAAGTGATCAATGTGCTAGAGTTAAACTTCATCGTATGAATAATAACCTTAAATGAAAATGGTCTAAATCATGCAATTAAAAGGCAGAGATTATCTAATTATACAGAAAAGCAAGACCCAACTAGATACTGTCCAGAAGAAACTAATTTGAAATATGTAGACACAAATAGGTTCAAAGTAAAAGGACATAAAGGATACACCATGCCAATCTAACAAAAAAAAAAAGCTGTAATAATTACATTAACAATAAAAAAGTAGATTTCAAATCAAAGAATATTATCATGGATAAAGAGGATCATTGCCTAAACATTTATGCACTCAATTACACAGCTTCAACATAAAGCAAAAACCAAGAGAGCTGTAAAAAAAAAAAAAAATTAAAAATCACACACACTTTTATAGGAAAGACTTCAATGTTCC